CACTTACCTTGTTCCTTCACTTCTGCCTCCCTGATTACACCCTCAACAAAGCTTTAGCACAGAAGTTTTGAATTAAGTTCTAGAATTAAGTTTTACTTTCCAAGGAAACCTAAGGTATTCACCGTAAAAAGGAAAGGGAGCTAAATCCTCTTGATTCCCTACATACCTGTGTTTTTGCTAAGTGATTTATATTTGTTAATGCTTTTAACCCTTGCCTGGAACTCTGTAGCAGATAGGACTTCCCCACTATTTCAGTGAAGCACTGAGGCCCAGTGAGGCTGAAATAATTCACCCAAGATGACACAGCTAGGATGCTAACCTGGCGTCATGCTTCAGAGCTAGTCTTCCTCCCGCCGTTCCTTACTGTCTCTAGAGCAGGACATTGGAATCTGGGAATTCTATAGTTGTCACGTGATAATTTACTAGTGGAGTTTTCAGAAGCTTTGAGGACAATTCAATGAAAACATTTTAAATAGCCACGCAAGTTCTAAAACGATAGGGTAAGTGTAATGGCAGGATGGGCACAGTGCAGGTTTTCTATGATCCAGCAGACCGGGTAAAGGAGGAGTCAGAGTCCTCAGTGGCTTTTTGCAGGTCTTTTATTGAAGTTTACCCGGTACACAGCAGGCAGGGGTACTGGGGGGCCGGGAGGCTGGCAGGCCTTCCAGCTCCCAGCAAGTCTTCACTCTGGGCTCTCCGGCCTTCTCTCACATTCCTTCTGCTCTTCCTATAGCTCTGCTTCTCTCTCAGCTTCTCTTTTGGCTTCTTCTTTCAGCTTCAACTGGCGTCCTTGTGACGCCGCCCTTAAAAAATTCACAGTCCCAGCCCAGATGAATCCCATCTACCTACGCCCACACCCTACTCCAGATGCCCGTCATCAGGCATGCATTCAGGACCGCGGGGTTCCCTCGTTGATCCTAATGGCGGGAGGGCAGAAAAGCCTGACATTTTTTTTCCTTACCCTACAGTAAGCCATCAACAAAAGCAGATGGCACAATCACCATTATTATCTGATCTCTAGATGTCACTTTATGTAGTCATTTCTAAATGGAATCACACTAACAAGCAACTAATGGTCATACAAGTAACTGCTTCAGGAATAAGAGCATGTGGGGTGGGAGAAGACACAAAGACCCAGAAGGAGAAATGAAGGAGAGAAGCTGCCCCTCCTCCCCAAGCCTGGCTCAGGGCTCCACTTGCTGTGAGAAATCACTTGGCCAAGTCCATCTGGATCATGTGGATTTGGCTGTTCTCCCATAAAGTTTTCTGAGAACAGAAAGTACAAAGGTTTATCCTGAAATTTAATCCCGAAATGAAGTAGATGGGTGTGTCCTGACTGCCAGAGACTGAAATGAGTTTTTCCTCTTTCTGCACAAAATGTTACTGGGGTTTGGGCCAGAATCACACTCTGGAAATTGGAAAAAGATAGAACTTGGACCCTGGTACACTACTCGGTTAGCCTCTCTTCAGATACTAGATTACAAAATGAAACTTTTCACTCTGTGTCCCTCCTGTGAGAACAATATGGGTTTTTTGTACAATTAAAAAGTCAGAATGTCTCCAGGTCTGATCGTCTTCTCTTAGTCTGATGGAGTCTTGCAGGAGTCTTAGTGCTGATGGAGTCTAGCAGTTACTTTTATGACCTTTTGTTGCTTGTTAGTGTGATTCCATTTAGAAAGTCTGTGAAGATGGTTCTCAATTCATATATGCTTACTTATAAAAAGAGGTGGATTTGTATATATGTGAAGAAGCCATTATTACCACCTGCCTGATATTGACACTCTTGCCTTTGAACTTGACAGACCTCCCAGAGGTCTCCCGGAATTTTGCAGTGCCAGGGTAGCAGCAAGTTCCCTGAGCATCGTTGCCAATAGGGGCTGAGTTCTCAAGGAGGCCTCTTCCTTTTCTGTATTTTCCCTGCCTGCTGTGCAATGGCATAACAGCAATGCCAATACCCCTGCTCTAGGACATTTACCTCTTAAAACTAGAAGCCTCCCATTTCCCAACCCACCCTCAACAACCTGTTCAAAGAGCTTAAAACACATCTCAAATTTTAACATCCATCACCTGGAGATCTAGAAAAATTGACGTTCTAATTTGGTAGATCTGGGTAGAAGGTCTGAGCGTCTGCAGTTCTAACACACTCCCGGGATATGTCAGCACTGCTGATCTGTGAACCATACTTCGAGAAGTGAGAGCCCAGAAGAACATTCTGTTTTTCTTTTGAATATTTTTGAAGAGTATTTGGTCCCTAGAAAAAGTTGTCCCTTCAAAATGCCTCAGTGTTACTGACAAGGCCTCTGAGAACTCAGTCTCTGCAGACAAGCTGTTCTGGGCCCTGCTGCAGAAATTTTCAAACAGATGGGGCTGAAGTTAGAAACAGTGAGCACATCACGTGAGAGCTGTTCTCACGGCCGCGTAGCTTTTGCTCGCCATACAACACAAATCCAATATTGACCTAAGGGCTCGCTCTCAAAATTTCACATAAAAAATGAATTTTACTCACACCCATTATCTACATAGGCTTGTTCCTGAGACTAGCAAACTCATTTTATTCAGTCTCAAACTGGCTATTTTCCTTTGGTTAATTTCAGTTATTATATGAGGTAAGAAGTTTTAAATGCTAAAGGACATAAACAGAAGCAGTTTAATTGTGGTATTTAAATTCTGTACTTGATTGAATAGAAGCAATTCTTGTTACTCTATTCAGAGTTTTCATTTTCTGCTTGGAGAGTTCACTCATTTTCATATCCCCCCCAAAAAATCTATTGTGGAAAATGTAGCTTGTCCAAGCATGTTTAACTGTCAACGAGATACAGGAAGGGGTATTGAACTAGGTAACTTTCCAGACACTCTTGAAATGTTTAATATGTATTACCTTTTACCCAAAAAGTGTAGCTACATATTATCTTGGGGAGAAATATATCTTACTTGGAGAATAAAAATAAACCTATGGTTCTATGTGAATTAAAGTAACTCTTAGATTTATACCTTTCATTAATTTTTGAAAACTACCTGCCTAGATCAAATCTTTTCCACTACATTTCACTAACACCCTTCTGGCTTCTATTCTTGTTTCTAGAAGGTATGTATTCTGATGAGACATCTATGCCAATGCACATTTACCAAAACAATCTCCTTAACTCTAAGAAGATTAAGACCTTAAGATGTATCATATCATTCTCCTATTTCAAGACATTTACTCCAAATCTATAGCTCTCAACCTGCCACTTACCACCCTTCATCAAATAAATTGACAATCAAATCTTCAGAGCTGGGAACCAGTCTACTCTTTAGCAGAGCAAAATAAGGATGCCTCCATCAACAATTTAGTCTTAGTTGTTTGTCTTCATACTGACCTGTGAATTTAATTCTGTCATAGTTATTTTCTTCTTCAGTGAATTTTGGTGGCTTGTGTCTTGCAAGGAATTATTCCATTCCATTTAAAATGTTAATGAAGGGGTAGAGTCTTTCATAATATTCCCTTATTATACTTTTAATGTATGTTGGGTGTGTTATGATATCATCTTCATTTTTGATATTGTAATGTTTCTACTCCCTTATTTACTAGTCCCCTAAGGTGGAATCATAGACTATTAAAGTCTCTCTTCCTTTATAATATAGGCACCTAATGACCTATTTCCCTCTAAGCCTTGCTTTAATTATATTCCGCACATTTTGGTAGGTTATACTTTCATTTTCATTTAGTTGAAAATATTTTCTAATTTCCTTTGATATTTTTTCCTCTGGCTTATGAATTATTTAGAAGCATGTTATTTAATTTGTATGAAATTTGGAGATTTTTAGATATTGATGTTATTGAGTTCTAATTCCATTATGGTTAGAGAATATACTTTGTGTGAGTTCAATATCTTTAAATATGACAAGGTTGTTTTATGACATAGTATATCTTGTTAAGTGTTCCATGTATAATTGAAAAGAGTGTGTAGTCTGCTCTTATTTGGTGCAGTGTTATTGTTGAGGTCTTCAATGGTCTTGTTTATTTTTTGCCCATTTGTTCTATTCGTACAAGTGTGAATATGGAGTAAGAGAAACCAGTTTTACAATCTTTTTGAAACAAACCAAAAATATGGGCAAAATATATGCAACAATGATTTTTAAGGCATTGGATGTCAGGCAATGAAGGCTGCAATCATGAGAGGTATGGAAAAAATGAGGTAAGCCTATAGCTTCCCCTTTTATTCCTTGAGGCAGTTATCAGGCCATAATTCAGAAAGTAGGGCTATCAAAGCAAAGCCCAGTGGATTCCCCTAATTAAGGAAATTAAACTGAGCACCAGATAGATCTAAGTGACTAGAATTTACAATAAAAGTAGCAAAGGTGAGAAAACCGCCCAGTTTTCTGGGCCTCGGAGATCTGCAGAGGATCCACTTCAAGTGTTCTTGAAAAGTATTCATTACAACATGTCTGCGAGCAAACTACCTGATGCTTGACAATAACCATCCTAAAGCCTTTAGAATCCACACAGGACCTGGCGCCGGGTCTGTTATCACCAATCAGAGTAGAAAATCTCATAACACATGTAGCATCTAATAGAGTGCTCACAAGTATCTTATTTCAGTAGTGGGAGATAATTAACCTTAGGTTAAATTCTGCTCTTATCATGACTAAAAAAGTATTAAAAGCAAAATACAGAAAGCTCAGACTTGTCTCAAGAATGGTAATGGGACCTGAGAACCTAGTACTTTAGCAATTTACAATAAGCTTGTGATCTTCTGTGAGCATTAATTTATCTCGCTTTGAGAATTTCTCAAGACTGAGCCACTGGAAATAAGATATTTATAGGAAAAAAGACTGGGAATAACTGAACACTAGGATTCTTTTTTCCTGATGTTGACTTAGACAAAATTTTAAGATTTTATGATTTTTTTTCTTTTTTGTTTTTAAAGACATTAATGACAGCATTAAACAATTCATGTGAAGTGCTCTCTGAGGAAAGTTACTTGATTTTTTTTTCCACTAAGCAACTTGTTTCCTAGGAATCTAGAGAGACAGTCTATGTGAAGGAAAGGAAACAACCAAGGAAAGTTAGAGGACAATTGCAGAAACAATCTTGGCCCCTGCTGCTCTATACAGAACAGCCTCACAACCAGAGCAACAGCAATAATCTCAGAGCATATTGCTGTCCCCAAGCCATGCTTCCTCGTCCTCTTCCCCGCTGTAGAAAGGGGACAGAATGTATGTTCATTCTACCTCAAAGACCTCTGGTAACATAAAACACTCTACTGGGGCTTAGATTTTCTCTCCCACCGTTCTGGCAAGTCTCTTCAGAGCAAAAATGTAAGGGTTGACCAGGCTAAGCCAGCCATGAAAACCTATGGCAGAAAAAAGAAATTACAAAATGTGTAAAAATAGTTTTGCCGTTTTAATTTTAGAGCATTAGGAATGGACTTTTCAAATCAAAAGTAGCCCAATAGCTATAAATATCTAGCTGTTAGTTTATCTACTAGACTGCATAGATCAAACAACTCATTCTCCCTCCCCAAAAAAATAAAAGTGGGAAGAATTGTTCATTGCACAAGATGATTTTTTTCAAAGCCTTTGACTATCCACTTTTAAAAGGATGACATTCAATAAGAGCTAAAAGTCTTACATTATTCACTCCTCTTTGAGCATCTCTTGAATGTGGTGTCTGATCATATGTTTCTGGAGAGATTCCCTTTGTAACAGCTGCCCAGCAATCCATTAAAATGACAAGCAAAAGGCCACATGGTGTGCTAAGTGCACTTAGTGCAGCACTGACTGGAGAGATGACAAAAAGGTTTCCTCTAGTCAGTTTCAAAGATACCTCTGTACCTGTGAGGTATAGGAAGAACTTTCAAGCTAATGTAGAGTCATCTTTGAAATTCCAGGAATTGGAATAGAATCATGAAGTTATGGGGGGCCTCCCTAGTGGCACAAGGGGTTAAGTGTCAGCACTATGAAGTTATCCATAGCCACTGCAGCACGAGTTCAATCCCCGGCCAGGTAGGTGACCCACATGGTGCAGCAGACCTCTCCTGTCTCTCCAGCTGCTCCCCTCAGCAGTGTATTTCAGTGGATCTGCCTGTTCTGCTTCCCACTCTGTCTGTGGTGAATCCTTTCACACACACCCCACACCTCTGGCCTGTACCCCAGTTCTTATATGCATAAATAAATAAATCTTAAAAGAATCATGAAGTTATGGTTTCAGGTGAATAAAAGTGATTTTAAACTGGTATTAGAAACCTAAGAATGCAAAACTTGTAACTCTCATTTTTGTATAGCGTGTGGATATCATTGAGTAGATGACACTATTCATTGTTGTCTCTACTTACAAACAAAGCTAAATTATTTGTTCTAAGTTAAGATGGATGACAAAGAACTGTAGGTAACCTCCCTGGGACTTTTTTAGACAACAACCTTTAATACCCATGGTTCATACTATTCAGAAGTCAAACTCTGTCAAGTAAAGTTTAACAAAGACAAATGTGAAAATTTTGCTGCTTTGACACAGGACTTTTAAGGAACTCTATTTCTAGTTAAGGTGAGCAATAATGAGCTAACTTGAGAAGTAAATACTGGATGCTTTCTAGCTATTTAGCAACAACAAAAAAATTAAAATTGTGAACATGTCCAAGTATTTTCTTTTTAACTTATTTCAAATAATTATAGGTTCACAAACACAAAACTAGAATAAAATAGAATTTCATGAACTTTCATCCATCATCCTTAATGGTTATACCTTTCAAAGGGTAGTGAAATAGGGCCTGCCTGGTGGCACAAGGGTTAAATTCTCAGCGCTATCAAGCTATCACCAGCCATTGCAGCATGAGTTCCACCCCCATCCAAGGAGCTAACCAACTGCCCTGCTCCCTACTCTGTCTCTGGTGAATCCTCTTACCACCCCCACCACTTCTGCACCACTGGCTTAGACCCCAGTTCTTGTATACATAAATGAATAAAATAAATCTTTTTAAAAAATTAAAAATAAAAGGGTAGTAAAATATCAAAACAGGTAAGTTGACAAGGCATATTACTAAACTACAAATCTTATTAATTTTTTACCAGATTTTAAGAGAACTCACTATATGTGTATAAACTGTATGATTTTTATCTACAAGTTTTATTAAAATTTCAATAAACAGATTCTTCTAACTATATATTTGAGTGTACCAAATATCAATATTTGATCAGTTAAAAGTGATGACTAGTAAATTTGATGATTCTCGTTGTGCCATTGAGAATTTACAACATTCCATTCTTTAATTGTATTTAGTTATTGAGTTGATTTTTATTTTCATTTTCCATGGAAGTGAACAATATGATATCTTTGAAAAATAATGCAAAACTTTTTTTTTACTAGTGGCTTAAACTGAAATATCAATGCTAGGGCAGATAGAAGCATCATTAGCCTGTGGAAAAGCTCTATCAGTAAAAGGTTTATTCAATGATAGTTCAAAATTTTCATTCTGGGAATCAGATGTTCAAAACTGATCTCAAGAGAGATACAAAAATGTTTTAAAATTCAACTAATTAAAGATTGACCCACATGCAATAATTCAAAACATGTAGCAAATTTAGGGAGTGTCCATTAAAAGCATATAAATACTTGGCTACAGTAGCAAAGATAAAAAATTATCATATTAATGGGTACACTAATTGATAGTTATCAAAAACTGAGACTCATTTAGGAGAGGACCAAATGTATTTCAAAGAAATATAGAAATTGTACAATAATCACAAGCAATCAGTACAGGAGCTGGATGTTGTTAAAATATCCCACAAAACCATGTCTGCAACTAAAAAAAGATTTTGGTGACTCTTATGTGGTCTGAAAAACCCAGGTAAAGCAACTAATCAACATCATTATATTGCATTTACCCTGCTCACACAGACAATCTTCATCGTACCCTCATTTAGAGCTCTAAAACCATACTAAGTAAAATAAGTCAGAAGCAGAAAGACAAATATTGAATGATTTTACTCATGTGAAATATAGAGAAACAAAAGAAAGAAACTAACAAACTAAACCAGACCAACCCTAGAAATATGGCTGTAGAACAGAAACTACTAAAAGGAGAAGGAAGATAGAGGTGACAACAGAATGGGGAGGGACCCAATGGACTGATGTGGAGGACTATGTGCATTTTGGTGGTGTGTTTGCTGTGATAACAAATATCTGCGGAGAAGTGAACTTATACCCTAAGTCATAGACAGTGTAGCAAACCAATGTTACCTCAATACAATAAGAAGTAAAATAAAAAGTACATTAGAGGATTAGGGCAATTAACACTCTCTAAAATCACCCAATTTTTGAAAATTAAACATAATATTTATCAGTTTAAGAAAATTACCAATGTTAACGGTGCATATGTCTTGACTAAATCTTATTTTCTTCTCAGGACTCCAGAATTTTCATTATTATCTATAAAGCAGCATGTTCAAACCATGTGAACATGGTATGAACTTTTCCAGAGAACAAAAAACTAGGACACTCCCCAACTTAACACTGAGGCTATCACAACTACATCACCAAAATCAGACAAGAACTGTGTATTAAAGGAAAATTGTAAGACAATATAACTCACTTGGATATGTAAAAAAAAAAAAATTCAGACATGATAAAAAAAAGCTGAATCCACTAAGAACAGAAACTACATTCTAATCAAGTTGGGCTTACCCCAGAGATGCCTGAGTGGTCACCATCAGAAAATCTCTAGTGTGATTCATCATTCTAATATAGAAGGAGAAAACTCCTGGATCGTGATACAAAGAGCATTTTACAAAATTTCACACCCATTCAAGATTAAAAACAACATCAACAATTTGATAAAGACATGGTAAGAAACAGAACAGAACTGCCTTAATATCGTTAAGGTTATCTACGCCAAATTTATAATAGTTAAACGTTAGAAACATTCCCTTGAAAGTCAAGAACAGGAAACTGTTGCCCAATACCACTATGCCCGTTACACATTGTTCAGGTAATTCTGGACGGAGCAGTAAATCAAAAAAGGAAGAGTAAGAGGAGAAATAATATAAGGATCAGAAAGCAGAAAATAAAATTCTCATTATTCATATCAGATTTCTAATTAGAAAACTCAAGACAATCTACAAACTATAATATGAGGTAACCAAGTTTGAGATGCAAAATAATTTTCAAAAAAATATTCAAAAGTTATTTTCATTTCTATACACAATGTCAATAACACTAGTTAAAAATTATAATTTTAAAAGTAAAGCCAAATGTAATGGCGACAACAAAAAGGATACCTGGGCATAAATTTTACAAACTATGAGCAAGAACTTCTCAGAAAACAATTCTAAATGCTATTGAAAGACATTTAAGATCACTTAAATATACCATAATTAATGGGTAAGACGTTTCAAGAGACTTCAGTTTAATGTAAAGTTTGTAAATTTGTAAATACTTAAAGATATCAATTTCCATATACATTATTTACAATATTTGTCAACATCCAAACATTTTATTATTTCAAAATGTCTGTAGAAATGTGCTAAATATGTAGCTAGAAGATAGTGTGGGGACCTACAAAATTTCAAAGCATGTTATAAGTCTACAGTAATTACAGCATTGTTTAATTGGATGTCAGGATAGAGATTGTCCAGAGGAAACCAGTAGAACTCACAAAAGGCTTCATATCAATGTGGAAATATAAGCAATGGAAATGATTATATATTTTATGGAATGACAGGCCAAGTTTGATCCCTAACTCAGTGTATATGAAATTGAGTCTAGGTATTTTTTTAATTAATTATGTTGACTAAGACTCTCAGAAGGAAACTAAAGCATATTTTTACAAACTTATAGGAGGAAAATCCATCTTGAACAAGACAAAAAGTTTTAACCATGAAAGATTCAATATTATACTCAAATTTAAAATTTGTGCTAAACATATCAATGTGAAAAGAGAAGCCAGAAGAGCAAGAATATATTTACAACATATATAGTTGACAAACGGTGAGCATTGAGAATTTTATACAAAAATCTAAAAGCCTCCTAAGAATGAATTTCAAAAAAGATAAACAACACAACAAGGGGGAAAATAGTCAAAAGCTTTGAAAAGGTGTTTATTTCACTGGAGAGTGATTACTAGTGGATATTAGATGTTCCACTAGAAATCAGGAAAATGCAACTTACAATCCTAATGAAATACCACTTATACCTGTTAAATGGGTGTTAAAAAAAAAAGATACTTGACAATAACAGCTTTTGGTGAGAGTGTGCATTAATGGAAATTTTAAAACCTGTTGGTGGGTGTAAATTCATTCAACCATTCCGAAAAATAATTCAGCGTCCTGTAAAGCTAAACAGGTAAATACACTTTATGTCAGTAACTCTTCCCAGAGTCCATATACCTATTGTCCCTTCTACTAATAGAACACCCTCAAGTGTTAGTTGGTCATATGGCTACCCAACCACTAAATATAGTCTACTGATCTCTGCAGGTAGATGTGACTAAATTACTAAGTTCTGGCAATAGGATGTGTAAAGAAGTGACTTGTACAATTTCCAAACCATCTCTTTATAGACTCCAGATTCTCCCCTACTCCACTCCAACCCCCAAGTCAGGACATGGATGGAATCAGGAGGAGCCCAGACAATTTAAACAGTGGTATTGGTAATGTTTTAGTTAGCATTGTAGTGTTGTTCATTCGTCCATTTTTCTTCATAACTGACATGTTGTTTTGTGCACATCATATAAAGCATAGTTTCAAGTTAAGAGGAAAAAATAAAAAGAAGCTTTCTCTTTGGTGTTCTACAAAGCTGTGGGGCCTATGAATACAAACAGTGAATTCTGTTCATGCTGAACAGGTCAGAGTCACACCCAGCTGAGCCATGAGGCTCAACCAGACTCCTGGTGGTCCCAATGGGAAGGCCATCCTCCCTGCCCTCATTTCACGTGGATGAGAAAGATACTCTTTACTATAAACAGTCTCCTATGCATGAGCTCAAGACATTGGTCAGATTCTTATTTCCTTCATAGCTTCCTTTACCTCCACCTCATAGATACAACCGTAACATTTCAGTCCTTAATATCCGCTTTGGGCTGCCAGTCCCTATATTTCCTTGGACGTTCCTAATCCTGCTTTTACAGCATTGGTCTACCAATCACCTTTGATTCTGTATTTATCCCTTCTGCCCCCCAACCAAATCTTTCAGAGACATTTCTTCACACTTGGAATAATTCTCTTTCAGAAGCCAATCTCTGCAGAGTACCAAGTTACTCTGCAGAAGAAAGGGTAGATTTTAAACAGAGGCTGTCCTCTAACATACTGGACTGGTAGTTGCTGGTGTCCAATGAAGTCCCTTCATTTTATTTTATTTTTTTAAATATATATAATATATTTATTTATTTTATTTAAATACTTTATTTTATATATATATATTTTTAAAGATTTATTTATTTATTTATACAAGCACTGGGTACAGTCAGAAGCACGGGAGGGTGAGAGAATTCACCAGAGCCAGAGCGGGGAGCAGAGCAGGCAGAAGGACCAAAGTACACTGCTGAGGGGAGCAACGGGCAGCAGGAGAGGTCTGCGTGCCATGTGGGACCCTCCTCCGGTGGCTGGGGAGCAGCCGGGGATCGAACCGGCGCTGCAGAGGCTGCGGGCAACTTCGCAACCCAGCACTCAACCACTGTGCCACCAGGGAGGCCCTATTTTATATAATTCTTACATATTTTTTCATCTTTGCACAATGTATGCCTTTTCATTTTGGTTATATTCCCCTTACAATTGCACTTCCCCCCTTATTTTGACTCTAGTCCTTCCTTTCCCTGCCCCTCCCTCCCCCGCCTTCATTTTAACCACCTGCCTCCAGTCCAATATTGATAGCACCAAACTCTACATGAGATGAAGGCAATTCCTCTTCCACCAAAGCTCAGGGCTCATGAGAGTGATTGCACTAGTTCTTATCCCTTCCTACAGCTCATTCTGTCTCCACGGCCTCACCATGATCATCCTTTTCCCATACCACTCATTTCCAGCTCTTTGGCAATCTCAGTTTAGTGACTGTGGTGTCTAGTTCATCTAGTTCTCTACCATACCTTAACTTGTGACCTTCTAGCAAAAGATCTCCTTGAACTGTTGCTCTAGGGACTGGCCCTTCCATCCAGCTGCTGGGACTCTATTTTTTTTCCTTCTGAATGTCTTCCACATACTGACCCAACACATAGCCTGGGGTCTAGCTCAGGGTTCTAGGCAACAACAACATGTATATACACTGTGGGAATATCCCTTTCTCTGGCATTTTGTTTTTTTGTGATATTGAGACACCAAAGGGACTTGTTTTTGAACCTGGGGAGATATTTCCTGATCTAAATCAAAACTCATTCTTTTGCAGTCATAATATAATCCCCATTGCCTGGCAGCCACCATTGCCTACATTCCTAACTATTGACCAGCCTCCTAAAGTTATAATATTAATCACAATAACTAATATTTTGTGGGTACATACTATATGGGTACCCATGATGTGTTTAACTCTACATTTAAACACTTTACAAATATCATCTGTTAAAGATATACAACCCAATGAGGAAGATAGTAGCTTATCTCTAGATAAGGGAAACTGAGTTTAAAAGAGGTTGCCTTCCTAATATTTGGTAGAACATGGATTCAAATGCTGACATACTTAGAGCAGAAACCTTAAAATCTTGAATTCAATACTGCAAAACAGGTAAAAGTGTGTAATGTTTGATTTCTTGGAAAGTGTTCATTGAGTACACAGAAACAAGCAACGAAAACTGGCTGTCCGTCACTAGATGGTAGTTTCTAGTCAAAGTTATTAACTAATCAAATATGTGACTAATCAAAGATAATGGTCACAGTTTACATCTTAGGAAAGACTTTTACTTTATTCTTATAGAGTCTTTCCAAGGAAATAAGCATTCTTTTAAAAACTAATTTAACTTTTGGGGGAAAAGATATTCTTGGCTTCCCCTACACTAACAAAAGAATTTACATGTATATATATTTCATAAAGGACAATATTATAACCACTCCCTTGTATATACTCCTAGCCTCTCTTTCTATATAGAGAAATATATTAGCTAGCTAGCTAGCTAGCCTTCCCTCTATACTAACAAAATATATATGTATAAATGTTACATATACTAACAAAAAAGTATATATGTATAATTATGTATTTAATATATACACATACATAATGTATAAGCATATATGATAAAGGGCAACATCATAACCACTCTCTGGCATACATTTCCAATCCCTGCGAGCTTTCTGCCTCTATATCTGTGCAGCTAATATAGCTGGAGAAAAACACACAATCACACTGATTGATCCTACTTTAAATTCATGACCTTAAAAGTCTAGTCGATTCTTACCTTACAGCTGCCCGACATTTGTATTACACTTTCTTTGTTCATTCCCTCTCCTATTTTGCTAGACAAGTAAAATGGATTCTTTTTATTCACTGTAGTTATGTTCATCAAGTGTCATGAACACTGAATAAATGCTGAACCAGTGCTCCTAAGAGAAAATCAGAATTAGATTCCTGCAAGCTTTTGGCCATACCATTCTCAGCAACTGATCAGTCTATAATCTCATTTTATGTGTTTTGTATAATGACATCTTATTAAATGGTATTCATTCATTAATATTGAACTCACAGGCATTGTAACTCGTGCCTGAATGAAGCTTATCTAACACAAATGTTTTCTCCCTAAGGCACATCATAGCCTTCTTGAGTTTAGGGACACTCCATAGCACTCTAGAACTATGCTTGGGGTGGCATTTTAAACACTGAAAACACCAATAAAAAATACAAAACTGCTAAAAATGGGCTACTAAACAGACCACAAAAAGGACCTTGATTAAAGTATGGGAACTGAAAAAAGACAGCTCTTCGCCTTGCTTGCTCTCTTTTGGGAGCGCACACTTTGAGCAACTCAGTGTGCACAACTCAGTGTCTCAAATGACCTTGGCAGCACCCGAGTACAGACTTGGGGGTTACAAATTAATTTTTTTAACTTTTTTTTTATTAACTTTATTAATTTATTTCACTACATCATTGTTCAATTTTGGACAGTCTTTGATTTCTCCCCTTATGTAGATCCTGTAGTCCTCCATAGACCCCATGATCCATCACCATATCCCCTTGTGCTTCTCCCTCCCCTGTTTTAACCCCTTCCCCCTCCCCTGATGTATGCCTCAGTTCTATGGTCAGCTTGCAAATTAATTTTAATGAGTAGGTGAATCTGTAAATACAATCTCCATAAATAATGAAAATCTACATTTTTATATCCTCTCTTCTCAAGCCTTCATCTCCTGTCTATCATCATTCAAACCTAGGCCTCTGTTTCTTACCTCTCCAAGAAAATTGAAGCTATCAGAACTTCTGAATTCCTGCCACCACCCTACCAGCATTTCAACATCTTCTCTTAAATACTCTACCTTCCCTTCCGCTATCAGAGATAAGTCTTCATTCCTGTTTAAAGTCAGCACCTGTCCATCTGGGCACTAAGACCCCAGATCTTCCTACATTCTCAAGACTATTGCTCTTGCTGCTCTGCCCTTTCTGCCAAAAATCAGATTTTTGCTCCCTGAGTCATTTCCATTCATGCCAAAATGTTGTACTTTCTCTTTTCTTGGCAATCTTTCTGGAAGTCATTTTAGGTATGATTAAGATATTAATGCATTTTAGAAAAAATCCCTATGTCTGTCCATAATACTAAAGAAATAATCATTAAATCATGAGATTAATTGCAGCAAGATTTATAAAAGTAAAAAGACAATTGAAAGCAATTTAAATAAACAGTAAAGAGTTGGTTAAATATATACAATAAAATGCTATACAAACATTATAAATGGCTCATTATTATTTAGTAATGTAAAAATACTCATAATGTAAGCAAAAGTAATCTTAGTAATCTTACTAAAAAGTGATAAAATACTCTGCTAAACTGTGAGGCCATTTGTTCTCAGCTAGATTGAGATGGAAACCCATATTTTAAAAAGATTTATTTATTTATACATGCAAGAACTGGGGTACAGGCCAGAGGTGCGCAGGGTGAGAGGATTCACTAGAGACAGAGTAGGCAACAGAACAGGCAGACTGACTGAAATACACTGCTGAGGGGAGCAGTGGGTGAGACAGGAGGGGTCTGCTGCACCATGTGGGTCACCTCCCTGGCCAGGGATTGAACCCATGCTGCAGGAGCTGCGGATTGCTTCATAGCACTGAAGCTTAAGCCCTTGCACCCCTAGGGAGGCCCAAGATGGAAACCCACTGAAGTTACTCTAGATGTTGGCTCAGGTGGTCACACTAAAACTATACATGTTTCAGTAGCTTGTTTCTAGGGTATATAAAAGCAAGCCAGAATTGCAATGTCTTCTGCCTTTAGATACACCCTATTTCATGGTAAAAATAAGAATCTCACTAAGGGGTATTCAGTCTAACAAAATGGCTGCAAAACTGGTGCTTGGGATCACCCTCCCTCCCTTCAGAAACAGAGGCCATGGACACTTATATCCAGCATGCCTGGTGGAATAAGAACAAACAGCTCTTCAAAAGCTAAATCAACCGTGAGCCAGCTTTACAAAAATAAAAAGTCCTATATCAAAGAGCGAGGGAAGCCTTTTTAAGGCAGGGGGAGGTGTGTTTGTAGTAACCAAACATTTCAAAGCCAGACAGCTGTTCTGATTCTCATAAATGGTGACCATGGCAACTCCTCAGCTCATATTCTTTACCAGATGTTTTGAGAGGTGACAAAATTTCCCAAAACCTAATCCAATTCCCCAAAATAATTAAGATTATCATCAGACTCTAAAAGTTACCTTTGTAAAATATTAATCAACAGTCCATTACATGAAAAAAAAAAAAAGAATAAGCACTAGACTTTAAATTTAATACTGTTTTCATTTTTAAAATGCTTGAGTAAATTAGGCCTTTCATTTTCACAGCAATCCTGGGCTTCTTAACTGTCTGGAACCCTGTTTTACAGGTGAAGAAAGGGATTAAGTGCTCAGTGGGATTAAATGCCTTGCTCAGTCACATTTCTGATAAAATGCCCAGGTGAGAGCCCAGAGCAGCTGCTCCTGGTTTGTAGCTCCAAGCTTCATGCCTGGCTGTAGAGTGTTTTTTCTGGTCTTTGAAGATGTGCACCCCAAAGCCATCACCCACCATCCCCCACCTCCTTTTCACTCTCCCCAAACACATACCACTATACCTTTACAAATTCTAGCAACCCTTTTCCACTGTCTGCCTGAAAACTCTGCATGAGTCAAGTTCAAAGATTAGATTCTACCTTTATAGGAAATATATATTTAGGTTAGATAGGTGTTTAATAACTTCTTCAAGCCACACAATTTTCTGTATTCTTTTGACTATATATTTCCACTGCCCAAAATAAAAATAAATATTTCTACAATGAGGAAAAATTAATCACTTTCAGTATTTTTTAAATTATATCCTTTTCTTGCCTATGTCTGTTTGCATATTATGACATAATTTTGACCCCTTCACAATCCAGTCTTTGCATGGGTTCCTGATTTCTGACCGATCAGCTTCCCTCTTTGCTCAAGACTTCTCCCACCTGGGCCTGTGTTAACCACATGCCCTAGAGGAATGAACCTCATTAACATAAACTTGCTGTCTGGCTTGGGCTCAGAAACCCTGGGAATGCTATCTGGAGAAAGACCTAGAATCCTTTAACTTAGGATTTTACTGAAAATAACAAAACAATATGACTAAACATATACCTTGAGACTTAGCACTCACGACCTCTGACCTAGAGGTCAACTCTGCTGCTCCAGGCAGAACTGCTTTTTAACTGTCGTAGAACACTGGGAAAGTTCTTAACTGACACTGACAGCAATGTCCAGCCACATCTCTTGATGCACCTGATGGAGCAGGAACCCTGTAGGAAGATTTGAAACCAATGTATTTTCAGATATTTCTGCTGGACTGAGTGTTCCCAGAGGAAACCAGTCTGAGGGGGGAAAGCCTAGAAATCCAGAAAGAAAAACCCTGTGGCTAAAGAAGTTTAGCCAATTGGATCTGATGGGGCAGCAATGCGCAGCCACCAGCTAGCAGGCTTGTCCTGTGCATCCCTGAGCCAGCTCACCTACCTGCTTGCCCCCCATCCCAGGGCAGTGGCAGGCTCCAGAAAGGAGAGAGCTGTTGTGCAAAGGAAGGAAGATGTCATCCTCACCCCAGCCCTGATGGGCAGTGATCCAGAGGGGATGGGCAGCAGTTTATCCCAGGGGACTAGAGCCTGGAGAAGGGGGCAGAGGACTGTAAAGCATGTGGGCTTTTCTTCTATGATACAAGTCACTGTGCTCCCCTCTAGATACTTCTGGAAGTGATCACACATTCCCAGAAATGTAAACCTACTTAGAACTCCTGGGGGGCATTTTGAAAGAAGGACCATGAAGTGGGGGAAGAACTGAAATTTTGCTGGGAGAAGAAGTGGGAAGAAGAGCAGAGAGAATGTCACTACAGATGTGGAGCCTGGGCAAGCAGTAGCAAAGGAAACTAGTCAGAAACTGAAAAGGCTGTGTAATGGGTGCTGCTATGAATCTGGAATTCTTCCCCTTAAAAGGGTCAAAGTTAATGCTTAGCCAGAGCGGATTGTTAGGCCAATCTGGATCAGAGGGGATTGTCCAGGCCAATCTGGATCCTCTTCGTATCCCATGCATTGCTGATCCATAGGCCAGAACATCACTGGGTATCCCCTTCTTGCTTTGGGATCTTATTTCTGAGACTTGGACTTCACTTAGGCAGTTGCTCACTGAACAGCCTCTAATACAGTGCCCTTCCCATTTATGCTATGGCAGCCCGGCTCTCCTGCACTATGCTGTGAGCTTTGCCTGCCCACTCCAGTCCAAGCTGCTGGGCCTGTTTCTGTGTTCTCTTTGGCAACTGCATTCTCTCTTCGGGACCCTCTGTCTGACTCTGGTGATCAAATAGGGTTTAAATCCAGTTCAGACTTTATTTCTGTTCCTTTTCTCCTCAATAAACATTTTCTTTCTCTAAACAAAATAAATAACTAAATCCAGTTCAGCAGCTGAATACCAGTTCAAAAAGATCTTTTGGACAAAAATGGGGATGTGGTAATAATTTGAACACACAAAAATTTCTTGCTTGAAATTTGAGGTGAAAAATGTTCTCAATTAGTCTAAAAGAGGAACATCAATCTGTTTCTGTTGCAACCATAAGCAGCACGCCTCTTTAAACCTCCACCCTTATTGCCTTGCTGTAGTGACTAATGGCAAATACATTTTGCCAATTTTATGCCTGTCATTAATGCAAACCTCCATAAAGCGGATCCTCAAGCGTTGCTGCCCACCTCTCTAGTCATTTTGCTTCTTTGTTTCTTAACTTGCCAGCTGATACCCTGATACCTAACCTGTAGGTCACCTGGACTCTTGGTGCCTCTCTCTTGTACCATTCAGAGGGCCAATATGACCCAGGATTCTGGGTTTCACTGGAAGAAGCATTTGGAATTTGTGGTCAAGATGTTGTACTCAAGAAGTTGATTAAAATTAAGGAGAAAAAGTAGATATAAGTCTGTATAGACATGTCAGGTGTCTGGGACCATAGAGCTCCCTGGGGTGAAAGATAACCTTTGACAAAGGCCCCATGACACTAACAAAGGCACACTGCTTCTGGTTCTTAATCTGATGAATTGGTTGTGTGAATTTGGGCAGATCACTGACTTTCTAAGCTTGGTTCTTTATCCAAATTTTGGGTAGGATGGGGGAAACCTGCAGAGAGTAATTCCTGGGGACTCTGTGAGCCTGGAAAGGTGGGCGTAAGAGAGAGGAGCAGGAGGTGCTGAGAGGACTCTGCCTGAGAGCTTAGCTCTGTGCTGCCATGTTTTATAATACCTGCCATGTCTGTGCGTACTCTGTAAACTCTCGATGCTGTTTTCTTGTGTCTGCTGCCCCCTGTAGCTTCATAAAGTTGCTTTCTTCCAAGACACTCTGGATCCCTAAAAGAATCCTGAGATTCACTTACTCTGTCCCACAAAGGACATTCCTCCGTATGTGTTTTCTCACCGCCATATCCTCTAATACCGCCATTTACATGGCTGTAAAATGTCCTAAAATCTGATGGAAGAGCAACTTCGTCATTTTCTTCATTCTTTAATTATTTTATATTTTTCATTTAAAAGGCATTTTTCATTGAAAAATTATAAAATTAATGCCATTCTCCTACTAAACATATTAGATAATGCTCCCTTGTCAACAAATTTAAACCAAACTCCTTGGCAAGAAATCTACAATTCTTCACAATCTAGCCCAAATCTTTCCTTCCAATGTAATATCCCATTACTCCCTCTCATTCAAATTATTCTAGCTCCTTCAGAGAAAGTTGACCATGCTAAATACTCTCATACCACTGTATTTTTGCTTATATTTCTGTTCTCTCTCTTCCCTTTAAAGCACACCTCTACCATAATTTTTTCAAGATCACCTTGTTTCCCCTCCTGCCTCTTTCTTCCTCAAAAGGCACCTGTCTTACGTGCTCCATACTTATGAAATTCGACCTCACTTATTCTCACTTTTGAACATAGATAGCCTTTTATTATTTAACTTTCCAGTGGTTCAAAGTGTTTTGTAGATTGGGAATGTTCTCACGTTTCTTTCATACTCCCTATATTGCCTGACACAGATCATGCTGTGGCAGCTAAAAATGCTAACTTCAAATAAAGGACAAGAAAACATACGGACCAACCCCTTTGAAGATGTGCCAACTTTATGTTATCTTTCTAAACCTGCCACATCTACCTCTTCACTGAGTCCTTTTCCATCCTTGCTTAGCTTTCCCCTTTCAGTGGTCAAGACAGTTGGCCAACATTGATGGTGCTATGGCATGTCAAACACCAGCAGAGGACAACTGAAGATGATTTTTCAGATATTAGCCAAAGAGAACAGCAATCTTCCAAATATTGCTCTCAGGATGTCTGAATCTGTCACATTGAGGTTAGACTAAAATGTCATGAAAGGACAAAATGAATGGCCCAAGTTATGCCTCTAGAGAAATGGATCAAGAGTTAGAATCTATCTGGTTCATCTTATTTCCCATTGACACAGCATTATTCAAAGTTTAAAATGGAGTTTTCAAGAAAATTGACAAAGTAGGCAACTCGATACAGCTTTTATTTTTCCAAGTGTCTTTTAAGCAACAAATTAATGTCTCAGAAGTCTTGGTTTATCCACTTTCTCTAAAGAAATCCAACTGGGTTTCCTCTCTCCACCTGACATTTCCCTCAGGAATAAAAGTTGAGAAAGATTTATTGCAGATAATTGAAAGATTGAAAGCAGAAAATGATTTTTAAAGTTTAAAGGAAGCTACAGATATCACTTGAGATCATTCCCACCAACTATTCCTAGAAAATGTATTTACATAACATAGTAGTATACATCAGAACACAAAGTTTTGGTGTATGTATACTGTCAGTATGCCCTTGAATTGGAAAATATAGACTTGAAATTAATGCTGTACTTTTGACTGAAGAAAACCTTCTATCTCAAGCTACAAAATTATTAACACTGAACTTGGGTGAATTTTACTCATATTCTCTCCTGGCATTTTTCAGTCTTTCAAGATAGAACCAAAAACTCAAACTTTCCTAGTTAGGGTAAGTTCACCCTGCTGAGAAACACAAACTTTCTAAAACAAAACAAACACATGAATTCAACGACTCATGAAGTTTCCTGGCTCTTGGGCAATTGCTTCCTGGAAATATTAAAAGACATCAGTTTTTATTATCTGTAACATAATCAAAATCTATTTGATTCAAAAACACTTTGAGAAGTCATCATACACATGGTAGTCACATCCTAAGGCTTCTGTTCTGAAGGGATGCTGGACAGCATTGTAGAAATAATTTAATTGATGACTGCGGGCTTCGAATCCTAAAGTCAAATTCCACTAGATGAAGATTAAATTGTCAAAGGCACTTCCAATTTATTTTCATCTGATTAGTGTATGACTTCTGGAAACGTAGACACTAAAGGATAAACACACATTATCATTTTTACCTGTGGTACTCTAACTGCTTTCCCCAACTCCTCCTTTCCCTCTAATCTATTCTCCACAGTGCCAAAGTATTTCTCTAAAATCTGATCATATCCTGTCTCAAAGGTCCTCCATTGCTCTTAGGATAAAGTCCAAATTCCTGATCTTGGTTTACAAGACTCTGAAGCTCCAGCCCTGACTTACCTCTCGCATTTTCTCTTTTCCCACTTACAGCTGCCTACTATCACCACACAGCTCCTCTGCTTTCCAACTATGTTGAAAATCCCTTACTCTGTATGCTCTCATCTCCTTGTCTTCAGCATTTTATCTTCCTCCTACCCCTGCTCCCTATTCTATATACTCCTTTAACTTAAGCTTGACTTTAATACATATGATGGCACAAACACATGTAGGAATGAATAAGAATGAGGGTATTAATGGTGTGAAGACAGTTGATGTAATTTGACTGTTACATACTACATATTGTGTGGTGATTTTACAAGCCAAGTAACTTGTAATTCTAAATGCTGTCATATTTTTGTCGTGATTATAATCCCCATAAACCAAGTCAGTTTGAATGTTTGATATATTGTGACCTAAGTTCAGTTTCACATTAAAAGCAACTCTAACATGTAGCATGTTCTGGCCCTCTCTCTTGATGCCTTTATTTGTACGCTATCAAGGTTAGATGCAATCACTCCATCTGTGTTTAATTTGACTTAATCTTGACTATGTAAAAGATTATACAGTAATATTAACAACATAGTTAATTCACCACAAAAGTCATTTAAT